GCAATGAATAAAGCAATCTTACGAATATTATAAATGCGAATGTTTGGATGGATGGATAGATGGATGGCTGTTTGTTTGAAGGTATCTCCAGAACGGCTGCGTGGATTTCGCTGAAATTTGGCATAGATGTAGAACATAGTCTGGAAGAATGCATAGCCTTAATTTTTTTTTAATTCCGCGCGGACGAAGTCGCTTGGTCGAAGTAAAAGATATGTAAAATCTACTTATTGGATCTTAATAAAGAATGTAGAATGCACAAGATGTTTGTGATTGACGTACAAAGTTGTTATACGTTCACAAAGACAATATCGAGGAGTTTTTAAAATAATTAAGAACATAAATTAATTAAACCGTGAATTATATTATGAAAATAAAAAGCTTATTTCGATTGTAATACATTTATAAACAGCGATCCGTGATTGTGTAGATATTTGTTTTACGTACAATTCCACGGAGAGCCGATGTTTACCCTTTAACAAACTTATGTTCTAGCTGTGAGCTTTATTCCAACCTCGAACACGTGACGGGATTAACACAACATATCGAATTCTATATGAACAAATCATGTGCCGATATTATGCTAAGTTAATACCACTATGTTACTCTGTGAATTTTTCGCAATGTAATTGAAAACTGTTAACAAAATTTCACCTTGCTTAAAATTTGCAAAGCGTTTAGCTAAAGTTCATAATTGTATGAACACACATTTTTATTTCTAATACATTTTTTTAATAAACACAATAATACATTAATTAAAAATGGTAAGACAAAGAGCTTTTGAAACCAATTATGTTTTTTTTTTCGTTTTATGTACAAACTTCCCTGTGTGATTGATTCCCTAAATTCTCGTTAAAGTAAAAAAAATAACATGCCTTAAAATAATGGCCAGTGAAGTAAATTGCACGTAAGACACGTCTTATCTATAGATTAACAAAAACTATCTCTGTTTGGAATTGAACCGTTTTAATAAACCATTTTATTAAAAAGAAGAAATATGTGTGGGCTGGCCTTATAATTTACTGTCTCGTAGTTGCAATATTTTGAAAATTCATTATATTTGAAATGCAAACCAAAATTGATTATATGAGTAGAAATTGTTAAAAAAAAATAAACTATCGCGTGAACATATTGCTGGAAACTATTACATTAAACTTAAATCTAGAATGCAGTTGAGATAATATTTAAACTAACTATTGGACAAACTAATAAAATTCCTTATTAAAATTCTATCCCAAAGGCTTTAACAGTAGAAAACGATATGCGAGAACATCCTAAATCAACTTTCGAGCCAAAGTTTACTCGCGAGCCGGTAACGTTGTTACAGTTAAATTCGCCGCAACGGCCGAATGCCCCTCGCCCTAGCACTCAATTTGACCCTTACAAACACTTTCAAACTTACCGTTGAAACAGGTGAGCAGCCACAATAAAGCGGTGCACAGGTGCGTGAAAGAAGCACGCCTGGCTTCCCGCCGCCGCACCATCTCACCAAAATCATCGAACCTCACTGAACCAATATACCACCCCCGAGAGGACACTCAATATAAACGAGCTACGGAATCCGACCCTCGGGCTATATCGAGTGACGTAACATAAAGTTAGTGCGCACCGTGCAACGAAAGACACGTCCGCTCACGACGCGGCCTCACGTAGAACTAAAGCTCGGGAAACGCGGACAGGGTAGCGAGCGCAGGGCGGGGGAGGTTCCGAATGTTTTGGATCTTCGCACAACCATTTCCCTTCAAGTTCCCGCTTACCACGTGCCGGGTTCAGTCAATTTTGTGTTTCAATGGCCGATGGAGCTATTTGTATTTTTATTGTCGCTGTTACATTGATCATATTTGTTTGAGATACTTTGATGGTAATTATTGCTGACGTTCGAAAATATCGACGCGGTATGTTTTTAAAGATTTTTTTTGTTTTTTTAATAAAATCTTATCAGATTTTTTTGTAAATTTACTAATATTTCTTTAACCGTTTCAACTAAGCTCTAGGCTTGTGCTAGGATATGGTTTAAGACAATAGTCGAATGGCGTGATTCAAACCCCCGACCTCGTGGTCGGAAATCGGTACACTTAACCATTAGGCTATTGACGCTTAAATTATCTTTATCGTTTTCCCTGCGCCCTATGATTTGTAGATTTATAGTCTTGACAGTTTTATATAGTTTACTCGTTATTTTAGGTACACGCAATTAAATTTTGTTTATTTAAAGATAGTCGTTTACTATGTTAAATGTAAACACTGAAGTGTAATGAATATAATTATTATAAGAAAAGAACAAAACAAAACAATATCTCTGATTTGATTTTCCAGCGATAATGTCGCCGACATCACGAAAGTCGTATTAAAGTTTAACAACGCGCAAAGTCATAAAAGCTCTGATATCGAGAATATCAGTCGAAACTCATGTGGCGAAAAGCTCGTGCGAACTTTGAGGCTCAGTCGATTTGTGAACTTTTAAATACGTTGAGACGGCCAATTTTCGCCAAAAATATAATCTATTTTGCTATCTTTTATTCGATAACATTTCATACAAGTTGGAGAAATGTTAGTAAAGTTTCCAAATTTAATAGCCTTAAATTGCAGAAAGATCTGTACAAACACGTGTCACGAAAAAAAATTTTTTTTCAATTGTTAAACTTTATTTAAGATGGAAAAAGACCTAAGAGTCCTCAACAGGGCTGAGAAGTGAGAGTGGAGACTTTTACTGTCGAATCCCACTTCGGGTCGCTGCGTCACACTAGTTACCAAAAGTTATAGTCAAAAATATACATAATCCCTTTGAGTGCATTGAACTATTATTTTTAATGTAATTTGCGACTAATAGTTTAGAATTCCTGAAACGACCGTCTGGGTCGTCTCAATTATAATGATATTAAAGTTTCGTAGTTTTCGAAATCTTTGTGAAATTATTTAAGTTATAATTAAGTTAAGGTCACAAATATAATTTAAGGTAAAGTCAAAGTTCATATGGTCTATTGTATTCGAGCTTATTATAGAGCTTTTATTAAAATACTTCGACCAGAGACGTACCTCTGTTAATATATTAAAAAATAATTAGTCTTCAATATAAGACGTAACTTAATAAAAAGATTTTGTTTTTCTCAATCTTAAAAAAGACTAGAAAATATTTCAAATATGAATAATATTAATTAATATTTTAATATATTATCTTTCTCTATTAAAAAATGTTAGTTAATTGTTAGACTAAATTAATTAAAAAAAGTGCTAAAAATCCTCTAGTCTCTTAGTAATTATCCAACTTCCCCAATGCTGTCCACAGGATTCTCAAGGTCAACTTCATAAAATTTAATGCTACGGTTCATTTATTAAATGAATATTTGATAAAAATTGATTGTTAAAAGAAGTGTGTAATAAAGTAAAGTAAAATATTTGATTGTGCTATTGTCACAAACAATTTATTTTGTGATACGATCGCTATTTCAAAACTATCATGGCCACGTTGTTACTAAAATTGTATCCATTTCAAACGATAAAACTTTATTGAAAAAAGGTTTCAAATTAACGTAATTCACAACATGTCTGCTTTGTATACGTAATTGTTATTACTTTCTTCTTTTATTATAATACAATAAGAATAAATAAATAAAATATAAATATAAATATCAGTATAAATCTTTTACACGTTCTTAAACTAAACAGTATTTATGACTTCGTTTTCTAACGAATTACGACATTTGACCTTAGAGAACTTCCTACATACTAGTAATTCCTCTAAGCATTTGACTTAACGAGGCGTTCCAAATCAAGCCTTAAACCTGCGTCCCGGAGGCCTAGTTTAGTCCTCTTTCCCTTCCCACCCTTTTTCTTATAAGGAAAGGATGGGAAGTGGAAGTGGATTTTCCGGATGCGAGGATGCATGGGAAGGGAAAATATTTTCTTTCTGTGCATCCTCTCCTCCGTCGATTAAAGATAAGCAACGCATATGCTATTGCGTCTGTCTATGGGCAACAGTTACTTCGCTATTTCAGCGATTTCGGTTGGCCGCTCGCTCGTTTGCCACCTTATGATATAAAAAAAACCTATACATATTATTATTATAATTCTTTAGAGGCACTAACCTTAATTTTACAAAGTCATAACTAGTTAACATTATAAATGTATAAATTACGCCTAACATAAAGAAACCAAGGCCATACCGCCTCCATTTTGTTCTATATTTCCATGCAGAATTGCTCGGAGGCTCGAAACGATGAGAACATTCATTTGCATAAGAAGTTGCACAATATACAGCTCCTTTTAACTCGCTAGCGTAAGGAACTGAAGCATTTTGTTTGCCAACAATAGGTGTTTTCTCTTCCTTTTGTGTAAAAAAATAGGTTATGTATCTAGGCTGGCTTTATTCCTAAAACTAATTAGAAAAATTTAACATAATCTTGAATTGTAACAAAGTTTCATCATTATCAATTAAGGATTACACTTAGCATAAGTTAATTTGTGTTTTAATATATAGTGTTTGTTTTATTATAATATGTGTATTATTATTGGAAATTACTTGGAAATAGTGCGTTGGATAACTGAATAAATAATCAAAGTGATATTTAACCTAGTTCTATCTTTATGAATTATCAATTTAATTCTAATATTTATTGTCAATTTTAAATGTGAATATCGTAGGCCACTTGAAGCGGAGGGCGGAGGGCGGAGGACGGAGTGTCGGTGTTCCAACTTTGAGACTTGTTTGTTGTTTGTCACTTTCTGTCAAAGTTCGAGTGACGCTCTTAGCTTTCGACTCCGCACGTTTCGTGGCTAAAGTTTACTGGATTGTCTTTTTGGGCGTGCGGTATTTGATACTATTTAATATTGAATTAGGCAAATTGTTTTTTGTAACATGATACAATAAAAATTTAAAGTGGTCAAACTACCGGGCATTTACTTAATACAGCATTTAATTAATTGTATTTGAACTGAAAAATTATAGCAAAATTGATTATTGACACAACACCATGAACGTTTTCACTAAGTGAATTTTAATTAAACATATCGAGGGGTTTTCTGTTGGGCTGATTGATCGGTCCAACGGAAAACATTCAAAAATTTAAGTCCGAATAGAATATCTCCTCCGCGGTCAAACATACATTACTAAATATACTGCCTTTATATTCTTCTTCTCATAAACATCTGCAAAAAACGAGAAAAACTGCAACAAAAATTTATCGTCCAGAACAGGCATGGGGAGTCCCTTAAAGTTTATGAAGCTTGCAAACAACGACTGGACTGTCCGAAAGTCGCTACAAACTTCGATTCCAGCCCACGATAAAGCATGTTGTTAATTGCAGCTTGTGGGACACAGCACAAACGGACCAATATATTTCCTTACACGATTTTAAAAAGGAAAATAGTACTAGATATAGCATCAAAATATATATGTTTTACTCCGCGGTATTTACTATTAAGGTACAATGATTCATTGGTGTCCCTGTCAATAATGTCACACATTAAATTATTCAAACTTTCGTGAGACATTATAATGAAACTTGTATAAAAAACGGCTAAACACTCACGTATATCCGTCCGTTGGCGGCACAGACTTCGATCCCATCGTTGCTGAGCGACGGACCGCATACGCGAAATAATACCAGTCCCACTCACCCTGATGAACGGCCCCCGATGGACTCGAAACTAGTCGGTGTAGCCACCGGACGAATATACGTGAATGTTTAGCCGCTTTTTATAAAAGTTTAATATCATACATATTTCGCCTCTCAACAATGTGAATATGACTTTAAAATCTAATAAAATGACTAAAGCACTCTTTCGATAACCATGGAGGAATCCAGGTCCTTCAAAAGAGTTATTGCCAAGGCAAAGTCGGAACACGTGGCCAGCATTGGGGAGAGGCTGGTGCGCCTTCCTTCGGGAACTCGTGCGTTCTGGTCTCTCGCCAAGGCTGTCCAGGGGAATTTTTGTAAGCCGTCCTTACCATCTCTGCGCAGGGGGGATGACACGTTGGCCCACACCGCAAAAGAGAAGGCCGACCTTCTTGGCTCTCTTTTCGCGTCCAACTCGACTCTGGAGGACAAAGGTTGCTCGCCGCCGAAAATCCTGTGCGGTGACACCTTTATGCCGGAAATCCAGTTTCGTCAGAGATTAGTGCGTAAAGTACTTCTATCTCTGGACGTTAATAAGTCGAGTGGGCCCGATGGAATCCCTCCCATTGTGCTTAGGACTTGCGCTCCTGAGTTGGCACCGGTTTTAACGCGCCTGTTCCGGTTCTCCTACTCTGTAGGCGAAGTCCCGAAATCTTGGAAGACTGCCATAATCCACCCGATCCCTAAGAAAGGCGATAGCTCGAATCCGTCCAACTACAGGCCGATTGCCATCACTCCCTTGTTCTCGAAAGTCATGGAAACGACCATCAATTGCCAGCTTATGAGATACCTTGAGGAGCACCAGCTGATTAGTGATCGTCAGTACGGCTTCCGTCAACGCCGCTCAGCTGGTGATCTTCTTGCGTATCTCACGCATCGATGGTCGGAGGCAATCGAGGGCAAGGGGGAGGCCCTGGCGGTTAGTCTGGACGTAGCTAAAGCCTTTGATCGGGTGTGGCATAAAGCACTTCTGTCGAAGTTGCCTTCCTACGGGCTACCCGAGAAACTCTGCGAATGGA